TTTTTTTTTTTTTTTTATCATGAGCTTTATAAACAACCTCTTAAATTCATTTGCTCCATTTTTCATATTATTTTTATATTCTCCATTTCTATGTTCTCATACGCAGAAATACGCTTATTAACCAATTTTCATAATAAATTCTACTTATTTTTCAACGCTTTGACTTTGTAGGGCTTACTTCCTAGCTCTAGTCAAGAAATAAAAGTGTTACACCCAACCCACCGAGGCTCCATATGAAGTCTATGTGACATCCCACATGGAGGCACCCCACATGAGGCTCGTCTTCGAACTACCGAAGCTCATCTTTCCGAGGCTCTCTAGTCGAAGTACCAAAATTGAATTTGAGGCTCTATCGGGGAAAAAGACGGCCAACATCATTTGAAGATCTCCTATTGACAAAATCCTATTCGAATGATTGATGTGATCCATGTAATGAGTGATATGTCAGTCTTGTCAACGTAGATTGTAGAATGACTAACCCATTTTTAAGAGTATAAAATGAGCCACAGGCTAGTAGGTACATATTGATACGTAGAATATGATGTTTTCGGTTGAAGAGATGAAGCCACGTGCCTCTTCATCCCATACAAAAAACGAGATCGACGGAAAGAATGAAGGTGATTTCTATAAATCGTTGCATGAGCTGACGTCTATGTTTAGTCGACCCTTTGAAAAGTCAAGTTGTAAAACAGCTAATAGAGTGTCCAAAGCAAATTCAATAAAAAAATATATTATTTTTCTATTATAAGATAACAACTAAGAGCGTAGTTTTGTCGTTATTTGATATCTATTTAACTGAGGACTAAAGTGAGAATATTTTGACACTACAATTATTTGAATTAAATATTTAAATATTGGAAAAGTTTGAATTTATATACTGATATTGACTTAAAATATAGCCCATAATTATTTATGGGGAAATGGACCAATTTTGATATGTGCCAAACTATGTACTCGTTTAGGTAATGATCATTACTAAACACACGAACAAAAGTCGTAGAGTCCNCAAGAGAATAAAGAGATCTGTATTCATGTTCGATGATGTGTGGACTTCATTTTCTTCACATAAGATTGGAATTTCTCCTTTTCTTGCTATATATGGATTTAAGATGATAGCAATTAGTCTATCACTAGAGGTGTGTCACAAAATGGAATGCCAAAAGTATCTAAAAAAAAAATTTTCGGGGGCAGCGCCTCCCGCCCCTTCAACTCTAGGACCCCCCTACTTCAACAAGCTGGCTCCGCCCCTGAGTCCAACAGTTTTAGTTGCATTATGCATATGAAGAAATTGATAAGGAATGTGATTTACCCAATATTGTAATGGAAACTCCACTCAATTATTTTTATTCTTTAAAGAGAACAATTGTAAGAGCTATTAGGAGAATGCAAAGTATACAACTAGGCACTGGTTTTGCGAATCACAATCAATATATGTAGACAAAAGTCATAAACTCGCTATCGTAACAGTTTAAAAAATTGGCAACACATGATAAATTGTGGACGGGTGCCTACTAGATCATCATTAGTTACAAAATCTCAATAAAATCCTCAACAATATTGTGGACGGGTGCCATAATCTCATTTTCAACAATACATTTACACAAAAATATTTCACGTGTAAATCCAAAATCTTTCTATATTTTTTAAAGACACATATTCCAGAAAAATACTATTTAAAACAATATCTTTCCAAAAAATTGGCCACCAAACAGGGAGCTAGCCCTTATTTGGTTCTCATTATAATGAGATTTTTGAAAATAATGTATTTTGGAAAAGTAATTTTCAAAGAATTCGCGATTAAAAAAGAAGTAGAAGATTTTGATTTACTTGTAATATTATTTTATTGAAACTTGCGTGGTTGAAAAGAAAAGAAAAAACTGTATTAAATTTTTAATGGGGACCAAGAAGAGTGGGATACTGTACGCACAGTATTAAATATTTAGGGAAATGAATGCATAAATGAAAGATTGGAGACATGAATGATACCTTATAGATGATTGGGGATCCGCGGAGTAATTTATCCTAAAATCTAGGAAAACTCTCCAACGCAAGTCGCAAGGGTTTTAGGTTTATCAATACAAATCCCTCTCCCTTTCTATCAAACCCTAAACCCCCAAAATTAAATTTCGATTCACTCCCAAATAAACTCCTCTTTTATTTCATATAATTCATAAATTATAAATTCAAATGGCTTTCGCAGCTGCTTTCCGTCGCATTTTGAGCGGATCTTCAACGCCTTCGGCGATTCTACACTCCCAGTTTGCTTCGGTTCGCCACAATTCTACTCTCACTACCCCCAAGCTCTTTGTTAGCGGTACGCATGTTTTCACACACCCGCGTAGTAATTATATATCTGTAGAATACATTATTAAGTATGGCGGTTCATGTTAAAAGGTAGAACCACTTTACAATGAATAGCCTATAACGAATATGTTGATTATTGTTTTTACTATATCCCTCAAGATGTTGACTCGTTGGAGAATACTGATTTTGAGATTCGGATACTGTTTGAGCTAAACTAAGTATGTACCTGCAGAATATAGTCTTAGTATAGTACTGTTCTTTACCAGGGTACGTAGGTGATTTGTAATTTCATATCTTTTTGTTGCTTTAAAAGCTTAATATGTAGAGAATTTCAAACATTTCATACTCTTTTCTTTTCGGAAAACATTGCTGTAATAGATAGCAAACGTTTAAAATAAAAGAATGAATTGGATGCTGAAATTGAGCTCACCTTCTAAATGCTGGAAATCAAGAAAATGAGTCTGAGCTAGGATGGCAAAAAAGCTCGTGGACTCAGCTCGGTTGCACCGAGCCGAGGCTAGGGCCAAGCCCCATTTTTGGGCGTCGGACCAAGCTCGGGCCAGCCCGTGTCCAGCTCATATTAAAAAAAAAAAATATTAATTTAAAGCTGCCTACTGTGCAGGCAGAATTTGTAGCTGGCGTGGCTTGCGTGCACGCAACTAAAAAATTAGACACGTAAATTTGAATTGTCTTGTCAAAATTTGAATTTATAAATTAAATATAATTAAAATGGATTTTACTAGTGATAAGATTAATCAGTTTAAAGGTAATTTGAGTACTCCATCGATGTACGATGCATCACTAGTAAAATCCATGTGTAAGTATTATAGTAAAAAGAATATTGAAAAATAGAGTAAAAGAAAATGAATAACACAGCCAAATGTCTAAATTGAAAATCAAAGTTAAGAAATTGGAGAGTATAATATTGAATATTGCGTAAAGAAATTTGAGATAAATTGATATGAAGTTGTAAAATTTTTTCCGTATTTATAGACAAAAAAATATATTCATTTTAACTATATTTAATTTACAAATTCAAATTTTGACAAGACAATTCAAATTTACGTGTCTAATTTTTTAGTTGCGTGCAGGCAACTATTTTAGCTGCCTGCACGCAGCTACAAATTGTAGTTGCTATGCAGGCAGAAATTCTGCTTGCTGCTTTAAATTTTAATAATTTTTTTTTTTAATACGAGCTGGACAAGGGCCGTTTCGGCTCCAGCCGACGCCCCATTTCTCGGCCCGAGCCAGGCTCGACTCGGGCTTTTTTCGGGCCTACAAGCTGGCTCGGGCTTTTTTCGGGCCTACAAGCTTTTTTGTCATCCCTAATTGGCGTTCGTAAATCATGTTCTGACAAACTCACAAATAATTTTGTAATTGGTCTCATCATAGGCTCAATGGAAATTGTAGACGGGTACTCAATAAGGAGCCAGAAAATGCTTTTGTAGGTGTTCCTATCTACGAGACTCCTTCCATGAACTCTAACATGTCTGTCTTTGGTAACAGATTTGACTGGTCATTTCACCAGAAGTTCTACCCAGATATTTGTTTGCCTTGATCTTCTGTATTTCACTAGTTTATCGAGCTGATTTCGCATTTATTACAGTGCAAATCTTTCAAGTCGATTGTTTATCTTGATCCACATGGTGCAGGTCTTTCAAGATCGACAACTGATGAAAATCTTTTCAATGCATTTGCATCATTTGGCAGGCTTCATGAAGGTAAACAAAAGTTCCAACCCTCTATCCAAGCATGCCGTCCTGGTTTTGGCTTTAGTTATGTCCAACATCCACATCGATTTTTAGTTCTGAAGTATCTTGTTTTTACAGCAAAGGTGATTGTTGATAGAGCGTCTGGAAGATCAAAGGGGTTTGGTTTTGTTACTTACGAAACAGTAGAAGAAGCGGAGAAAGCAAGGGAGGGAATGAATGCGAAGTTCCTGGATGGTTGGGTAATTTTTGTGGACCCTGCTAGGCCAAGAGAGCCTCTGCCACGTCAACCTAAACAAGACACACAGCCAAATGAAACTGGCTTTACAACAAACAAAACCATTGGTTGGTGCGGCTGATGCTCTTGGACCATTTTCGGTATCTACTCAGCTATTGGAGAAACGTTAGCATATAATTTAATATGGAAGTTTTTGTACTGCACATTTCTTGATAAATATATTGCAATCCTATTTGACACTCTAAAACAGATTTTGAGGGAAATGACGTTTTGGTGAATTTTTGATTGGGCAGATCCACTTTATCCAGTGACTTGGGCTTGTGAAGAAGGAAAATCCCATTATTAGTGAGACGGTAGAGGGTTACAGATTTTAAAGACCATATAGCAGGTCTTAAGTATTTTTGGTTATTTTGGGTTGTTCTGGCTGGTTTAAGGTGATTATCTCATTGTACCGAACTAGGCAAATAAGATGGAATACAAAGCATTAATGCGTTTGTCAAAGGCAGAGGGTCTATCGGTCACAGGTTCAGACCTTGGCCTACTCAACCAATTCCTTGGATGGATGAATTAATTGTTGTAGTTGTACAAACCACTAATACCAGCCAGAGCGAAAGCAACCCTATCCCATTCTTTTCTTCCACTGAGGCACTGACGTATGTATTTAGGCAGTGTCCTTAATGCATTCTTCAGAAAGTACTGTAAATTTAATTAAGAACTTTGCTATATTTTCTTTCTAGCCTAATTGAAGTAACCTTTACCAACTCATCAACGGCAATCAGTGTCTGCCTCGTCATTCCCAGCTTTGCTGCACAGTGATTTCAAAGCAGTTTCAAGTCAAAAATATACATGATTGAGAATTTGATAGGAAGTACAGTTTGAACCAGGGCAAAGCAACTTTGGAGACCATTTACAGTAGTGAACCTTTTACGAGTTTGGAATGACAATCTGTCGCATAGAACGGCGAAGAAATCAGGTTAAGCTTCGTTATAGACATGTTTAAAAACAAGTTTTCACTAATCAAAGGGTTCCAACACTTTTGACTTTGTTGACATGGAGTCAAGTGAGAAGATCGAATAGTAATAAACAAAGGGGAAATTACACAAAAGCTGGTATTTGAAGATTACTGTGCAAAACTCAGGTGTCAACTTTAATTAATCATATATCAGGTATAATTATATATTTTAGTATTAATATTAAAATTAATCAAACTTTCACAATTCATCCCAATCTCATTTTCAAAACGTAAATATCTCTCTCTTCTCTCCTGTTCACACACTCTCTTTTCTTCTCCCTCCGGCCGCCAGTCACCACCATTTGAGTCGGCAATTTCACAGTCAACTATCACCAACACGAATCCATCCCAACTACCCCCAAACTACAAATTTCTCCACATTTGACATTTCGTCTTTGAAGTAGAGGATGAATTTTTTTTCCTCATTTTCCTCTTTTCAGCAGAAACGGCATATGGTGCTTTTTTTTTTCATCATTTTCCTCTTCAACGGGTGGTGATGGCATTTTGTGGAGATTTGGTTTTGTGGCTTTGGTCCACAAGCAGAATAGACCTGGTTTGTTGTATTTTGTGTGTAAAATGGTGTGTTCAGGCAAGTGGAGGGGGTGGTGTGTGGGAGGTGGTGATGGGGAAGTCTCGTAATTGTAGATCAATGTCCACAGGTGGTTGTGGTAGGGGTGTGTAGGAGGTGGTGATGGTGGATCTGATTCTGGTAACTGTGGTCTGAAGTACATCTGGGATTGTGGTGGCGGCAGTGTGTAAGAGGTGGTGATGGTCAATCACAATTTGTTTCACAGTGTGTAGGTCACAAATCAATATCCACATGTCACTATAATTAGGTCACAGATCAATGTAGACAAGTCACGTATCAATTAAAATTGATCACATATCAATGCCTATAAGTCACAGATCAATGTCCACAGGTCATAGACCAATTAAATTTGGTCACAGATTAATGTTTATAGGTCACGGGTCAATATCCACAGGTCACAGGTTACATGTAACTGGTATCAGAGTACATAAGCCACGGGTCACAAATTCAATAGATCGGTCACATATCATTAAATTCTTTGACCTCAATTATTCGAACCAATAACAAATTCAATTAAGTCATATATCAATTAAAATTGATCATGGATCAATGCCTATAAGTACTAGACCAATTTAATTGGTCACAGATCAATGTTCATAGGTCATAGATCAATTAAAATTGGTCACAAATTAATGTTCATAGGTCACAGATAAATGTTCACAGGTCACAGGATACATGTAATTGATCACGTATCAAAGTGCATAGCATAGGTCACGGGTCTCAAATTTAAGAGATCTGGTCACATGTTATTGATTGCTTTGACCTCAGTTATTCGAACTGGTCACAAATTCAATTAACCAGATTTCGACGGTGAAAATTAAAATTATTTGCTCCGATAAGTATTCTGTTAATTACACTAGTGGCTGTTTTTCAATGATCAGTTTTAAATCTTACTAACATTGCTAAGTGTTGCTGAAGAAGATGATCACTTGCCAGCGATGCTTAGTTGACGTTCTCCAATGGTCATTATATTTCTCCCTTTATCTCTATTATTTGAGTCGACGATGCTTAGTTGTTACTGCGCGACAATTAGATTGTCGCTCAAGAAGTTGTTGACGACGATAAGAATGGGTGATGACTGGTAAGAGTGGGGTGGGGTGTAGACGATTGTTTAATGGGGGTGGGTGTGAGTAGATTAATTTAAATTGATAATATTATTATTTAAAATTAAAATATTGAAAGAACACCCGACTTTTGAATTTTTAAAATTATTGTCTGAAATTGATTTGGTGTAAACTTAATACCTAACTTATGATTTTTTCCCTACACAAATACAGGCCGGAAGCAAATTGGTTTTAAAAAATTGGTAGATTTAGCCCAAATCCTTGGTAAAAATCAAAAAGAATAAAAATTTAGCCCA